CCTAGAATGATTGTTCAGTGGACTTCTTCAGATGTAGCCTATAGTACCTACAGGAGTAACAAAGCTCACATCAAATGTTTTAGTTCAGCACCAGGAGACAATGCCTCCCTGCCCCCCCCTGTTGATTGAAGAACAATACAATTCCAAACATTAGCAAGAATAGCTACACTTTGTGCACCAAATAGGCTGGTAATATGACTGGCTTCATATCTTTCCCAGGCACAGTATATCAGCCATCAGATCATTTCTCTTACAGTATCTTCAAAACCATTTTCATCTACCATGATTGTGGTTGCTGTTGTAAGCAGCTAATAGTATTGTCATGAGCAGTATTTTCCTGTCAGTCCTTATAAAGAGGACTGCTAATGCTGCTTGTTGGTGCTGCTCAGCAGCTGCTAGTACTACTACTAGCATATTAGTAGAGGCTTGATTAAAGTTAATTCACTTGATTGATGAACTTAAATAATCCTGGTAAGAAACTTTCAACTCTTGCGTAATTAACTTTATTTTCAGATATTCCCCCTGAATGAATTGGTCTACTCTCCCAAATGGAGAACCTTCCTTAAAACATGTTTTCCTGTTCTCCCTTGCAAGCAAACACACAGATATGTGTGATTGGATGCTCTCCATTCGGTTTTGTACTGTGTTCTACTATGCTTTTGTTGGGAACCTCTGGATTATCCTAAGTAGAATGTAAGTTTACCACACCAGTGTGCTCCACAGAATGAATCTCTTTGCTTTGTTTTGGCTTGCTTATTGAATTGATAATTCGAAGCTTTATTTGCCGAGCAAAGAGCAAAAGAATAAAGAAAATCAAGTACCAGCACGACACAAAGTCTTCCAGTAGTCGCTTGTTCTTCCTATTCTCTAGGAAAAAAGAAAAATCACACTACTTGCAATTTTAAGAACCATCTCAATTCGGAGTTTCAACTTTCCATCACCAACGGAAAATGTATAAAAACGCCTTAGTGATAAATGCCATGTAGATATTTTCACACCACTTTTATCGATGTCGTTGCATGGAAATCGCCGTGGCAATGGTTTCAGGATCTCTCATGGTAGTGACTTTGGCACTATAACTTTGATCGTTGCATCTCGCCTCCGTGATAGCCTCCTTTTGTTTTTCGTCCACATTATTTATATGATCTACAGCATCGGTATTCGTCGTGGCAAAACTCCTGCAAAACGATACGTGCATTTCCTGTTGAGTTTTGCTATTAGGCGGAAGCTGATAGCATGCTTTGGTATAAAAATTTTCAAATTTGTCTTTGGTCATCACGGGCAAATCCAAGGTACCGATACTGAAAGCCAGCAACCTATACTTGATATTGTTCGCTTCGTATTTTTCTGTGGACATCGGGCCAATTTCCGCCATTAATCCGGTGGGGGATTTGGATGCTAAATCACGAGTCAAGGAATAGATATCAAAAGGTCCTCCACGCCGAACGTCGACTGTACCAAACCACGGAGTGTTTGCGTCTGTGCTATCCGTCTGAAGACTACCTTGCTGGCATCCCTCCTGTGCTCTGCATTGAGTAATGTCCCCGAATCTTCCAGCATAGTGTCTCTTCTCTTTGTTTTCCCATCGAACAACTCGATCAGGGGTAAGGCCAGCGAAGTCGAGTAGCCGGCTTAACGTCGTTTCGAACTTTTCAAAATCCGGTGAAGTACGATTCTTGGTCGCTTCAAGAAAGCAGTATGCACTCATCTCCCGTTCATCATGTCCTAGATGGATGTACTTACTGCTTGAAAATTTCGCTAGCTCTGTGACAAGTGAAAAGATCAATGGTATATAATCTTTTTCGGTAATGTTTTGTGGTATGTACTCCCCGTATTTGCATAAGAAATTCGGACAATCCACACTGAACGACGACCTATATAGCCCACCGGCATTTGTAGAAATGGCAATTTCGGGCATTATTGAAACACCAAATTCAGCTGCAGTGTTTCTGAAGGCATACAAATCATTCAATGTTGGATGAAAATTTGTGTTCTGGCCTTCAACGAACTTGACACCTGCTGGCTTGTAAAAGAGCTTCGGATGATTAGCCGAAAAATAAATGAACGAGAAATCGCTGACGAGGCGAAGTTGAATCAAATTTAGCCCGAGTGGATACATCGATCGGGTTATGATTGCGCCGAGGCTATGGAAATGATCAGGTGGATATCGAGAAATATCCATAATGAGACCAGTGTGGTCCACAAGTCTCTTGCCCCGAAATTCCTCATTTGCCCACTTTGATTGAAAGTAGTAAGTATTATTCGTAGCATTAAACATCCATTTGGGTTTGTCAACGTATGTTTCCCAGAAGCTTTCCTTTGCTGAAAGAATTGAACGAAAATCTCTGCTCATTTGTTTGGTTGTCTTTACAGTCTTTTCTACGGTCAAACGATCGCAGGTGTTCCTGATCCAATTTGCCCAAACACAATCTTGACCGCCAGATTTGAGTTGCTGGCGATGTATGCTGTAACGAATGGGAGGGACTCCATACAACTTGCACATTGTGTCATCAAAGCCGATCGACCTGCAAATTCTTCCATAATGGTCGAAGAATTCAAAACGATTTGTGATGTTCATACCCGTAGCCCCCATGGATACAGCTAAAAGTCTCCCAATTACGTTCCGATCGTGCCAAAATCCCGTGCTTAATTCAAACGTGCCACCAATAATTCCTAGATTAGGTGATCGTATATGCTTGAGATGCTTAAGCCTCTTTGTTTTGACGTACACATCATAGGCGGAATCCTCTTCGTTTGTATCAAAGTACAGTCCCGAAGATAAGAAGATGGGAGCAGAGAAATTACCAGGGTAAGTTCTTTGCCATTTCGTTTCCCCCGGAAACATGTACCAAAAGTGTGTGATATCTCCCGCCCGTGATAAGTGAGGCAGGTAGTGTGACATTTCCCATCGGATGACCCTTGATTCATCGTACTGAAGCTCCGCCAATATCGTTCGAAGAGTGGATTCAAATTCATTGTAATTGGGCATTGTTTCACCGACCTCATCGAAGCAAGGTCTTGCCATGTTCACTTCATCACCTCCCAAATGCAGGTAAGGGGGGTCATCGAAAATATCAATGACTTCTTCCAACACATCTTTCAAGATTGGTCGCAACTTCGGATTTGATACATTCAAAGGTATGCCATATCCCTTGTTACAAATAAAGATGGGACATTGGACGAGCAAGTCAGGAATACCTCCCCAGGAACCACTGTGACCTGGAACGTTTATTTCTGGGACTATATCGATCCCCTTTTTCTTCGCATATTTGACAATATCCTTTAGCTCATCTGGACTGTAGACCTTGGTGTTGTTATTTAGTGTCGTAGGATACGCCAAACGAGGCTGTGATTTCAGCTGAACGTTGAAGGTTTGGTCATCGGTCAACCGAAAGTGCAAGAGATTGAAATTCATGACCGATATGACGTCGATCATTCTCTTGATCCAATCGATAGGGAAGTAGTGCCTCCCGGCATCCAAGAGGACACCCAAGTATGGGATTTGATCGTCTTTCACTAGACTTGAGTTGCGAGTTAGGGAGGAATGATCGAATCCTTCGCTTAGGATATCCACAGGACTTATATCCTGAACGAAGTCTGATGGAAACATATTCGGCAACAGGGTCGATTCAAGGCTAATTTCTTGCCAACCCAGGTCATCCGTTTTTCGTTCCATTCTGTTTTTTCTCATTCTATCTGGTTGCCTACTATTCGGGTCATGGTAGCGCCCTGAATTTTTCTTAGCAAA